TGCTTGAGTGTAAACAGAAAAGGAGTTTATATTTGAAACTCGTTTGTCCGTGTGATGCAACAGACTCTGGGTTCAAGTCGAAGCCTGACTAACAAGAATCAGAGTGAGTAGATGGACGCGCTCCTAATCCACCCGTAGCAGACAAACATTTTTCACTCAGCACTTTTGCGTTTCCGCAATTACAATTACAGACTTTACAATTATGTTATAATTATACAATTATAGACTTTATTGTCATTTAACTGTACATTTACAATGTACATCGTGAACAAGGCTCCAATATTATCAGCTTCTCCTAAATAAATTTTTCCAAATAAATTCCAAGGTGCTAATTTTTAATTTATTTAATAATGTTTTGTGAATCTTTGCTGGAGTAAAATTTGACATCTGTGTTGAGTTTTTGGTTGTCAAGATTTTTTCAAGAAGACGTCGATATTGTATTGCTGTAATGGAAGACTGCTTACGCAGCACTTCCGTTTCCTCTCCTATAGTTTTAAACCCGTAACGCGGTGCGGCAAAACAGCACGTTCTCACCTAACGCGTCCGACGCTTCAGGTGTAATGCGTGTAACATTTTGAATGCAGACGCTTAACATTTTACTCTATGCCTAGTTTTTTATGCACCCGGTGCGTCTGGTTTACTTTCAGAGTCTACGTTGGGGCGTGACGAGGGGACGTCGGACACATCAAAATCGCTCAAGTTGTTGTTTTCTGTTGTTGGACATGTTGGATGCTCAAATGCTCCAAACGCTTCAAATCGCGCTGCGACGGGCCATGACGCGCCTCTGCATAGACTTTGAACACTGGCTGCCTTTAAATCTCAACTTAAAACCCACCTGTTTAGAGTTGCTTATGGCTAAATTAGGGTTAGAGTGTGGCTTTGATGTCTTTGATGTTTTTATCTTTACTTTTTTATCTATTATTAATTTCTTTTTATTTCTCTTTCTCACTGCCTACATTTTAATGATGTAAATGATGACGTCCCAGTTAAACGACGTTTAACAAAAGTCCTACAGGGTTTAGAGTCCCAGTTGACGGCGTTTCAACTAAAGACCTAAAGGTTGGAGTCCTTGTCAAACGGTGTTTTTGACTAAAGTCCCAGAGGGTTTGAGTCCCAGTTAAACGACGTTTAACTGGGACGTTTAATAAGGTGGTGGTTTGAGGTGGTGAGGAGAGATGCTGAGACCCAGGATATGATGAATAAAGTGATGTTTCATGACGGAAGCTCAACAGTCCAATACAGGAGGCACGGCAGAGAAGTAGCACGAAGCTAATTACCGGTAGCACTGATACACTGAAGACTGGAAACTAGAGCTGACACTATCCAGGACTTAGCAGTTCTACTGGAGAGTCAAACAAGGAGTGATGTACACACGACGTTAGACAAGGAAC